CGCACATATACGCGCACACACAAACACAGACACGCACATATGCGCGCACACACAAACACAGACACCCACATATGCGCGCACACACACACACACACAAACACACACACGCATGCACAGACATACGCGCGCGAGCGCACACACACACACACACACCAAACAACGGAACACACCGAAGACAAACAGCGGAACAGGTCTGAGTATTCTGCTTTCAATTAAAAGATATCTTATGATGCGGTGCTATGGACCGCACGACCCGAAATTAGATATTATGCTTTCAGTTGAAGATATCTTATGATGATTCAGTTGAAGATATCTTATGATGATTCAGTTGAAGATATCTTATGATGATTCAGTTGAGGATATCTTATGATGGTTCAGTTGAAGATATCTTATGATGATTCAGTTGAAGATATCTTATGATGAGGTGCTATGGACCACATGACCCGGAGTTGGATGAACCAGGCACGCGAACATCAGCGTTACGCAAGGAGGAGGAGCCGAGAAGAGGAGGGTTTTGTGAGGGATCAAGCCTTTGCCACCTAAGGACTACCGCCTGCCCCCCCCCCAAACACAACGTACTGTCATGATGACGGTGTTGAATGGAAAGATCGCTCGTATGAGGGTTGAGTTGTATTCAGAGAAAAAGGGGTAGCATCGTTTGCGTTTCCGGTTAATGATCGGGGGTTCGATGGGGCCACCTTACAGGCAGCCACGAGCAAGAAAGACGTTAGGAGGCGTGGGACAACCCACCCCATGCCTACCCCCCTCTCCCTGCGGGCGGGTGAAGCCAAAGATCATGCTTATGCTCATTCACGTGTGGACGACGGGCCCGCGCGCGCGTGGCCACGTGTCAAAGAGTCACACCCTACTACTGCTTTTGTCCTTTCGGTCGACTGATCGAACCCCTCCTGAAGCTTCCACTCGATTAATGAACAACACAAATTCGTTGATAACCATTTCTTCCCTTCCCTCCTTCCCCCCTTCCCTTCCCTTCCCTTCCCCACTTCCCCCC